CTCTTTCCCCAAGCAGATGGAAATTTGAGCCCTAAGGAGAAGAGTGAGTACTCCTTACCACTAAGTGGCATGTCTCAGAGAATAACAGACACAGTAAAAGGTTATTCCATTCACTCCTGGAAAACTGCACATGTGAGTCAACAAAACTCCATAGTTAAATAGATTTAACAGAATTGCTGTTCCAATGTCCATCTTTAGAAGAGAGCTAACAAGACTCTCTCTGTACTAAACATACATGGAGAATGTCAGACTGGAAGGGGACAAAGATGTCTGGGAAATCAAGTTGCAACTGGAGCAGCTCCTATCCAATCTGTTCACTAAACTTGGCATTGCATGTTAAAAGAAACCATGGGATGCTCAAATATTCCCAACAACCAATGATACTGTGGAGAACTGTGTAAAGTCAGGTTCGGGGGAAACCCTTTTTCCTATCAGCTCACATTTTCATGTATTTAGCTTAAGTATGTAAAACATTGTGCAAATTCTCACAATTATAAGCATGACACTGAAATAATCTGTTAGTCAAAAGTGCATGCTGATAATTAAATATATAAATACATGCTTATTTTTCTCCTCAAGGACGAGAAAACTGATTTAGATATTTTCAATCTCTCCAATTTATTGTTTACCTCTGGACTCCAATTTAAATATTCTGGGAGGTCAAATTTTAGAATTATAGAGCCAATCCACCATGAAGACTATTGGTGTGCTATTTGTTGGACTGAACTGATACAATGCAGCCCACTTAATTACTCTGAAGATGTTGGGTAAGAATGTATAAGAACAGTAACTTCTTCTGAGGAACCACTTTTTTGGTCTTGAACCCAAATTGAGGCACTGGGCATTACAACTGCAATATAAACAACATCTGATTTATGAAGTTTTTCCATTGGGACAAGGCAACGTTAAGTGAAGCATTAAAAGCCCATTGGATGAGGGATTTCTGTGGAGAGATCATGACTGGAAACAAGTAAATGTAGATAAGCTTCCAAAAATCTGAGTGCACATCTGAAACAAGCTGGAGTATAGTGTAAGAGCATTCAAAGCACCCTCTTATGGCTCAAGAAAGCATGAGCTAAAAAACTCATTCCAGACTCAGAATAAAAATAGCCCCCAGTCAACTCTGCTATAAATGAGAACCTGGTCATTCAGACTAGGATGTCAAAGATGGCTAGAAGTGATACTAGGCACATCAATCCCTTGTGTGTTGTTGGCTACAGGAACTGGTATATCCTTAATCACATTAATCTGATGGGCTGTTGGAGTCAAAAGGTCTGCTTAACCCTTTTTTTTTCTGAAACAATCAGAACGCTGAACTTTGGGAGAATCATTCATCATTTGTTTTCCCTCTTGTAACCCAGAGTGGTTATTATACATGGCATACATATGGAAATATTAGTATTTATTTTTTCTACTTAACTCGTCCACTATTTTATCCTTACTTGGCAGGTCCATATTGATGTGATAATGAATCCATCATCTCTGAAGACATTGAAGATTTCAATGATCCCTCGAGAATAACCAAACAAGGAAATACTAGCATCTGAGACAGCCAGGTTAAATGTAAGATAATCCGTGGGTTGCAGGACTGCTCTCTGTTTACAGAGAACAAAAATCACAACACTGTTTCCAAGCCAAGACAGCCATCCTGAAAAGAAAAAAAGTATATGCATGTTAAAGCAGGGAAAATAGTCAAGAAATAGCAGGGTACATAAATGTATGATGCCCATACACTGATGGAAGTTTTATTTAATTAAAAACAAAGAATACCAGATGCTTTTATTCCACTTGGATATGCCCCTTAAGTAGCTAGATAATGTGATATGTCAGAAGTAGGAAATTAACAAGTGAGTTACTTTGAAAATAAAGTAGACACCCAGAAAGAACTGGAGCTTGAGCTGTCTACTATGGTAATAACCATTGTTTCCAAGTATGGAGAATTGCCCTTGCTGACTGCACAGTCTCTCAAGAGATGGGATGCAGGAAGTACTTCTGAGTAAAAATGGGGGGAGGCAGGATTGGAGAGAACAGAGACCAGAACTACTCTGCCGAAAAAGCATCAGCCTCCAAAAAGCATGTCATATACAATCACTCTATAATTCATATTAACAGTGTGTTCAAGTGACCACCCAAAAGGGAAGCATAGCTTGTTTCAGTCAGAAAGATGAAGTTGCTTTCTACAGAACAGTCTGTGATCTCCTTGAGACAATCACTCAATAGGAATATTCTTCAACAACACACATTTTAATCCATTTGATTAGAACATCCTTATGAGTCTAATGTCTTTTCTTGGGTTCCCAGACTAAGTGAACAAACCCTTGGAAACTGGAAAGCTTGATTTTTTATTTAGATAGAATGCTGTGTCCTTTCAGATGGTCACAATATAGAGATGTCTGACATTCCACAATTTAGTTAAAGACAAGGACATAAAAGAAGGATATTTGAATTTGCTGACAACCAGTCTGGCACTTGTATCAGGTATTTTAGGGTATTAGTCAGAACATTGTGTGGAACATGGGTGACTTGTGCCTTCTGAGACTGGGGGGGCATAGTTTGTGGGTGGCAGCATTGGTGGTGGGGTGGCGAGCAGCAACTGCCCACAGAAGCCAGTGGCAGCAGCAGTGGGGCGCCAAGTGGCGACCGTCCACAGAAGCTGGCAGTGGTGGCCAGTCTTAGGGGGGAAACGTGCCCCCCGTGTCCTCCCTACCAGTCGCCTATGGTGTGGAGATACCTGAGCCAGCTTTACATTACTCAGTTGGGGACCACTAGCCGTCTCACTGAAGCAGCTTGGGTCTACCATGCCAAATCACTTCTGTGACCCCAGTGTAGACATATCATAAGTCACTTAGGTCTTGCAGTAGTGAGCAAAGCAACACCTACACATCTCTTAAAAACTGGGCCAAAGAGACTCTTTTCATTAACATCTATGAGCTATGGGTGAGATCCAAAGTACACAGTATATAACATATCATTGACTTTGTAGTAAATGAAAAATGGGTTCTATTAGCAAGGGCTGCCATCTCAGAAACCTGATGAGCACAGTCATTTGCTATCTGAAACAGAGCCTTCAGTCTCCAATTCAGGCTGTAGGTGGAAACCATCTACTTACTAGAAGACTTTATGCTAAGCAGTGTGCTAACAGAAATTTTTGGACAGAGGATACTGCAGAATATCCCTGAATGGCCTTGCTCAAACCACTCAGTATAAGAGAACAGAAAGGTTTCAGAAATCTGTCCAGTTATACAGTACTAAATATGCAAGGTCAATAATAGCCTGCACAATTTATTGCCAAGATAAATCAACCTGAATAGTACTTATCAGGATAAAAACTTGATATCTGAGATAATGGAAATAGCAGGACAGAATCATGAGAATCAACTCCTAAAGGACAAAATTAACTAGTAGTCTAAAACAGCTTAGGTGATCAAGCAGCTAAGAACCTGAGTGGGTCAATGACATTATTTCAAACTTTAACAAGTTTAAGAGCAGAATTTTCCCTTGACTTTATAATGAAGTACTACATTAACAATACCTGTTTATTGAGAAATCTGTTTAAAAGTTAAAGAACAGAGGTTCCCCCAGGCAGATGATCACAAAGTCTGGAAAGGTGGTCTTCAAATAGCTATCTGACCCTAGGTTGTTCACTACTCTACATCTACAGCTGCCAGACTGTATTTAAGGGTAGCCAAAACTGCAATGGATAGTCTATTAAATAAGATAATATTTACCTTATTTGTGTAGATTAAAACAACAACAAAAGATAGCTGTCCAAGGCTCTAGGCACTCTATCACATCATTAATGATATAATAAAAGCACAGCAGTATGAAAATTACCACTTCAGGATGTGATTACCACTTCAAAATTACCTTAATAGGATCTCAGCCAATCAAGCACATACAAAAGCTCCTTTTCATCCCATCACCATTCCAGGAAGCATGGCCTCAGTCTTCTTCAAAACCTCTTTCAAGCAGGTATCTTCTGCTGTGTCCCTGGAGAGTCACCAAATATGGGCTCTTTCAGAGTAGGCAGTAGAGGGAGTTCCACAGCCTGTGAGCCTTCACTAACACTATCTGTCTACAGCCTCTCTTTGTTAAGAAGATGATCAAGTTCCTCTCTGCTGCGGCAGTATGACATGGGGAAGAAGGTGGTTATTTAGTAAGGCCAGGCCCAGAATTAAGTGATTTCTAGACTACAACAAATAGTTCTTCCCAGAGATCAACAGGTAGCTAGTGTAGACCCCAGAGCACTATGTGCTCCAATTGAAGTGCTTTCCTCAGCAAGTGGTGCAGTGAGTTCTGCACCAGCTTCAGACTGAGAATAGTTTTAAAGCTTTATCCCTATGCAAAATAAATTAGAATAGTCTAATCTTGTGGTAAGAAAAATAAAGCAAATTGTAGCAAAGTCTGTATCCCAATGGAAAGGTCTTAAATTCCTAGCCAGGAGGGTATAATAAAAAGGTGCCTGGGTTTACTGCCATAATGTAATTACTGAAGAGCAGATAAAATAATCCCTGTGTTGCGAATGATAGTAACTAATGGTGGACATAGTCCCACAATCAAAGGACTCATACTGCCTCCACCATTTTCAGTGGCTGCTTCCTCTAGCCCAAAATAATGTCATCATGGATGAGCTTCAGATGGCTTGCTCTTATCGATGTCCCAATCTCAGCTAGACACTGGCTGAGATGCTGAACTACATCTCAGATAAGGAAGAGGAAGACATCAGATCGTATGTCAAAATTTACTGAAAACGCTACACACCAGGCCTCTACTCAACCTCCTTAACACTCTCAAAGGTACACTGATAGGAGAGGTGGCACTCTGTACTATCCCACATTTGAAAGTTCTTCGGGAAGAGGAGTTAAGCACACAGATGAATTAGGTAAAGTCTCTGAAAGAAAGCAATGAAACTACTGAAGAAGTATAGTTTGCTTCCAGCAGGTCATGTGACTCAGTGGCTTGTGATAGGTGGTATCAAAGATCTTCATTCATCACAAGAAAAGCTCATAAGCCAACACATACTCTCTCCCAAAGCCAGATTGACACAGCTCAGTGAAACTAAATCAGAGGTTGTGCCTCATCGCAATCTTTTCCACAATCTTACTCAAAAAGGGAAAATGCAGCATTAGTTGGTACTTAATGCTGACTGATGATTCTTTATGTAAAAGCTGCATTCAAACTTCCTTCAAATAATATGCAACCAGCCTTTTCCAAAGAATCTCTGCCAGCAAAGAACCCAATACTTCTCTGATGGCCTTCAACAGCCAAGAAAGACGAGGCTCTAAAGTAGAGGATCTTAAATTGCCTCAGCACTGGCAGAGCCATCATGGTTATAACCACAGAAACTGTAGCCAAGAAACTGATGCTCTTGTTCCCTGGACATAGGGAATGATGGGTTGGGTTAAGTTGGTTTATGCAGTTGACAGTTGAGAAGGAATATAAACTATCAGATAATCTCTGTTATTCACATGTTCTGCTTCTATAGAACAACTATTGTTCTAATATTCTTGAGTATGTGTAACTCTGTCATTGTGTGACACAAAATACTGGGCAAGATGGACCTCTGGCCTGATTCAGTAAATGGCAATGTGTATGTTCTTACATTCTTATGTTCAGTAAATTGGTGTTTGCGTTGCAAATGATTAAAGTTGGCTGAAGCGCTGTGATGGACAGGAGGTTTTCTATAATAAGAGTGTCAACACATGGGATTAATTAAGAACTTTAAATTCACACCCACCTTACCCCAAATTGACTTCTAAGTGTAAAGAAGCTTTGACTAGTGACTTGCTACCTAGTGAAACCATTGCCAGTTACAATACCAATGTTTTTTCTAAGTGAGAAATGATAATTGCAGGGCATTCTATAATAATAAATGGAAAACAGTTTATTCCAAAATACTAACAGTTGTAAGTAAATTACAACAACAACAACAACAACAACACATCTTTATCTTGGTCACTAGGTGACATGAGTATACAATTGCTGAAATGAGTATACAGTTTCCTGTGGCTACATGAATGTGGTGACTTCAGTAACAATCAGGAAGTATTTTAGCATCCAGCATTTTCCTCTGGTTCAATCTATTATAAGCAAATACAGCAGGTGGTTGGAAGGCTGGTTGCTTTGCAGATATATCAAGGTAGTTTGTAAAGCATGTACAGCTTGTTTGCATATGTCTGCTCTGCTCCCTGAAAGATAGTTGTCAAGGGAGTGGGAAAGGGAAATTATATATCAGCATCAAGAGACTGTTAAAATGGCAGGCACAGCATCAGGTAGCACTAAGTTTACAAATACCTTAGTTTACAGGGCTCTGACCATGTAAGGTATAGAAGGTTTTCTATTAGAACTCTACCAATATCTACATTTCATGTGAGCACACTACATTTGCTGGAAATACATGGAACGCTTTTTTGTAGCATGTAGCATGACAAGAATTTTTCAGTTAAAAGGTTAAAGGATAAATAAGAAAGAAGAGGACACTTACTCCCATGAACAACACAAATATCTCTCAGATTTCAAACTACAAGAAAAAAAATCTTAGACCTGAGGAATGAGGGAAACAAAGAGAACAGTGGTTATGGATCACATTAGAATGAATGCAGGCATTTTAGGTGGCAAAATTACAGAAAAACCTTGTATCTGGCACTC